AACGTTTACAAAGAATAGCACCGAATCTCTCTTTCTGATTTTCATGGGTATTCTAACTGAGCATGTAGGACAAGTAGTGCCACGGCCAATGATGTATGCAGATGGTGGTAGCAGGAATGATGAGAAGACATGGAAAACAAGGGTATGAACAGCAGTAGACCAAAGACCCAATTTATGGAATGTCAGCTTATACCCAGGAAACACTATCCGAGTGGAAGTATTGAAATTATGGATGAATACTTGGAGTCATTTCAAGCACCTGTGGTCAGCAGTGGCAGATGCTAGAAGTACTGGAATGGAATCTAAGTCACAGCTTAGCTCTGGTTGGAGGAATTGGAAGAAGCGCAGTGCAGGGCTATGAGGCAGAAAAATATAGCTGAAATTGAAAGGAAGAATGTACAAGATAGTTCTGACACTGGCCTCATTATTTTGTGCAGAAAACCAGGGCAGCATCAAAAATAATGATGACAACTGGAGACGAATGAGATGTCGATGTTGAGATGGATGTGTGGAGTCCTGAGAAAAAGCAAAATTAGGAACCAGTATCTGAGGGTGTCAGTGAAGATTGTGGCAGTATCAAAGAAAGTAACTTAGAGAAGGCCGTACTTACGCAATTTCGTCTATCAGGTGAGATGGAGAAAATATGGTGAAGTTAAATGGTGGAGATGGAACTGGCAGGGAGAAGATTAAGACCAGATGGAAAGAATCGGTGGTGAGATAGATAAATGCAACAGGATTGCAAGACAATAGACGGAACATTACAGAGGTGGTCGACCAGCAAATGTGGTGACCCCAAGAAAAATGGATGCTGAAAGAAAACTATGCACATGGTTAGAAAATAGTTGGGTACCCTTGATTTCCACTCATTACTATTTCAATATCAATATCGATTACTACTTTCTGAAATGAAACAGGGAATAGCCTTCCAATATCAGTGTATGAGAAGGTCAGCTGAAGTAGCCTGCATATGTAGATTAGATATTTTTGGTTACACCCTGTCCTTGCATGAAATAATTACCCTATTCACTTGGAATGCAGCCTACAGCATCAAGTTACTTAAAGTCAGAAATTTTACAGTTAAACGACCCAGACACACACAGTACATTTAAAACTCAAAATATTTTATACCACTTAAAACCTCGCGAGTAGAACTTCTTCCCAAAGAAAATGTCTCCAATGATAAAGGATGCCAGTGGGGAGAAATATAATACTACCCATTTTGGAAAGCTTTCAATGCTTTCTGCTCACTCTCAATAATGCAATTTATCCTCTACTACTTGTCACTACACCAGTAAGACAGCTTCATTTCTTAACCAGTATACTTGCAATATCTCAATCTACTAAATTCTAGCCCACATCTTGCACAAACTAAAATTAATGCCATTCAGGATTCAAGAAATTAATCGTGGTGAAAAAGAAATAGTCAACTAATCTCATACAGACAGATTTTGACAGGGCTCCCAAATTGTACTGTGTGTCAATTCACTCCACCTAATTTCCCGACTAATTGAAAGAAACGTCATGAAAGAGTTAGAGGTGCATACACAAGCCAACCACTGTGAAGTGTCCTTATGCCAAGTTTGCAGTTTCCTCATTTTGATTATTAGAGAGATTTGTAATTATGTACAGTGTGATTAATTTTGCCTTGGGACAGTCACATTAAAGGTTTCATGTGGCTATTTACCTATAAACACAAGTCCAGAAGGCTGCTATTCAGCATTGAGTTGAATAATTTTAGATCATAACCACAACCCCATATTGTTTCTTTTCCCAAGATTGTTTTGTTTCGTCTTGTTTCTTTCTTATTATTCTAGCACATAGCTGCTATTCTGTCATTCACATCTCACCTAGACAGGTCCTGTGTTTTCGTACTTCTTAAATCCCTACTTCCTTTAGTTTCTTATAAACTGCAAAATCATTTGTCGTTTAATCTGTGTTGCCTTCCACTCGGCCACAGATCTTCTGTTTTTCTGGACTTCACTTTGACTTGTGTAAAGCCTATTACACCTTTAACTTCTCTCTGCTAACAAACAAACATAGGAATCAGGAGCAGGAATAGCCCATTCAGACCCTCAAACCTGCTTTACCATTCGATACAATTATGGCTTGTCTGATCATAACCTCAAATTCACATTCCCACCTATCTGATAACCTTTCATCCACTTGCTTAACAAGAATCTACCTACTTCTTCCTTAAAAATATTCAGGAGTCTGCTTTCATCACTATTTCAGGGAAAGAGCTCCAAGGACTCGTAACACTAATTAAAAAAAAAATCACCTAATCTCAGTTTTAAATGGGTGACCCCTGATTTTTAGACAGTGACCTTAGTTCTAGATTTTCCTGTAACAGAAAATATTCTCTCCAGATCTGACCTGTCAACACCTGTCAGGATTTTAAATACTTCAATCAAGTCACCTCTTAACTCTTCTGAATTGCAGCAAATACTGCAGGACAGTTAGAGGAAGTTAAGTGATGCCTCCTTTTGCAGTAGTCAGTGTACTGTGTCATAATATTTAATTGTCCAGCAGCACAGCCAATGCTTTGACAGCTGCTGTTAAAGGATAAGCATGTAAGCTGAGTGTAGAGTGCCAGAGTAGGTGGAAATGGGTGTCACAGCTGTCAGTTGCTGATGGGCGGAATTTTAACGTTAACTGATGAGAAGGAAAAAGGGTTTGGCATGTCACCAAGGGGATCAGGGGGCTATGGTTGGGGTGTGCGGGGTATGCTTGATGATTGTGGGCGACAGAGCACGAGGGGGGCAGGCGACAGAGCACGAGGGAGCGAAATCAGCTTGATAGCAACTCAGGAGTTGACTAGACTTTTAATTGTTTAACTGACTAACCTAACTAAATAAAAGACGAACCCTCTGAATTCACCAATATTAGAGGTTGGCGGAGAGTTCCAAAAGATGTTAGGAAATTGCCCATCTAAATTTTCAATTTCCTGTGCAATTCATATGCAGTCTGCTGCGTCTGGGATTCTGTATGGCCCCAATATGCAGGACCAGTCTGCTGAGAAAATGACTCTGTCTTGCTATCGGAAAATCTAGGTCAAAATGTGGGCACAGGATGACAGATGAATTATAATGTAAGGAACTACTCACTTTGGTTCTCAGAATAGAAAGCAGAATTTTATTTTAAAAAGATGTGAAGGCAGTAACTAATATATATAGAGAAATTTGGAGATGCTGGTATAGGAATGTAAAAAGTCAGCAGGCAGATGCAGCAAACAATTAGAAAAACGAATAACATGTTGGCCATTATTTCTGTACTCCAAACTTGGTTAAATAAAGAAACCTTGATAAACCTGACCACATCTGCAGTACCACGTGCAGTTTTGGTTTCCACATCTATGAAAGGATATATTTGCACCGGAGGTAATACAATGAAGATTCAATTAAATGGTCCCTGAGATGAGGGGGCTGACCTATGAAAAGAGATTGAGTAAATTGGGCCTATATTCTTTGGAGGTCAGAAAAATATGTGCAACCTCACTGAGACATACATGATTCTGAAGGATGCTCGATATACTAGACACAGACCACTTCAACTGGTCAGGACGCCATGAAGTGTCTACATCATTACCTACTATATTTTGTTAAATAATAACGGTACTGAATAGCTATGCTGATATGAAACTTAAGTATGTCATTAAACTCCACAAAGAAAATGTCTCTATTGGCTTCAACACATTGCAAAGCTGCAGGCTGTAATACTTTGATTACACCCCCATGAAGGGTGCACACATCCTCTTTGTTCCTTGCTGCTTGCTGTAATGACCTAGTTTCATGCACAGTGAATCCAATACCAAAAGTTAGACTGGTAAGAAACAATTTTTTAAAATGGAAATTTGTATCAGTTTGTGCTCCATCAGAAATTTAACCCTGTCATTTCTACAGAAATTCTAGCTCACAACACAATTTTGTTAGTTTGAGTACTCTTCCTGCATTCTGTAAATAGCAGGTAGGCCATCTGGTCAAAGCTAGCCACGCCAACCAAATTTTGTTCTTTAATCAGAGTCAAATACTCCCACTGCAAATACTACAATTCATTTTGGAAAAGAACTTGTTCTTGGGATATAAACATTGCTGCCTGAGTCAGCAGTTATTGTCTATTCCCAATTTGCTGTAGTCTGGTGACTCTTTGCTAGCTGTCTCCAGATCAGCTCCTCAGATCTTCTGAATCTCAATTATAAGTCTGTCAGAATTACTAACAATATTGTCTTAAATTTACTTTCAGGTTTTTCTCTGCACCTCTGTAACTGGAACACTATATTGTGCATTCTGTTCTATTACTCTGATGTACTTATGTAAGGTATGATTTGCCTAGATAACATGCAAAACAATACTTTTCACTGCATTGCAGTACATGTCAATAATAAAATCAAATCCATGGGGTGTAGGTACATCCGTGGAGCAATTAGGTAGTTCCAGATTCTTGATCCAGTGACCGTGAATGGTGATATGGTTCTAAGTCAGCACTACGACTGACACCGCATTCGAGTTGTATATGGTGATGTACCCATGGGTCTGTTGCCCTCGTCTTTCCAGTGATAAACACTGTAGTTTGGAAAATGCTGTTGAAGAAGGCCTGATAGGTTAATGCAGTTCATCTTGTAGATAGTGCATAGAACATATATTACCTCAACTCTGATATTTCAAAAATCACATAATGCATTGCTTTGAGGAGAGAAAACGTATTTCTAGTAAGCTAGAATAAATATCAAAAAGATCACAAGGCAAAGTCCAAGCCTGAAGGATGTCCAAAGCAGCAACAAGCTTAGTTACAGTTCAAAAACCATGTTAGGATTATACAGAGCAGTTAGTGTACAGCTGCAGCTATTCAAGAGGAAAAGGAGAAAACAGTTAAAGAGCATTACTACAGGAGTTAAGCTGGCAAACTGTAGCACTTGCCCTACAGGGAGACAGCAGAAAAACTAGGTGAGGTTTTCAGTGCAGAGTGACACACAGAGGCTGCAACCAGCTGGAGGGTTCACTTACTGACGCTGTTACAGACGGCCAAACAGTACTCTTCGGAGGCAAAGTTGTTTCTGTTTCCTCCACAGCCTCCATAAATGAACTGTGCACATTTTCCTTCACTGATGTCAAAGTACCATCGAGGTAACATAGCTTGACAAGGCCCGGTTTCTGCTTGCTCAGAGCAAACCTCTGAATATGAGAGATGCAAGGGTTTCAGTCGGGGAGAAAAACAAATTTACAACAAATAAAAACTACCCTTTAAATGCCTCATTATATTAGCAATTCAGGTGATTTTGCTTTAGATACCTTGATACAGCAATTCAATTTCCCACACAAGATTTTGAGAGCTTTTGAATAACTGATTGAATCATTTATAAAATATGGCCTAACATTTTGCCCAGCACTGTGGAGGATTAGCTGGGAACTCCCATCAATCCAATGGGGGAGGCCTCAGGTGCTCTTCAGACAGTTAAGTGACCCCCAGTTGGCCTTCCCCACAATTGAGATCTCCAGCTGTGGAAATTCCACTTTCCGATAACAGCTAGTGAACCAGAAGCTGGCAGCTTCGGCCCATTGCAAATTGCTCTTTGGATACAGGTAGTGAGCTGCATCTCAAACTGCTGTTAGGTTTACCCAGAGTCCTATGAGGAAGGGACTTCTAAGATATGGACCCAGCAAGAGCAAAGAACTTACAACACAGTATAGGTTGAGGTCCAGACGGTATATGGCTTGGAAAGGAAATTGAAGATGGTGGTGCTCCCATATATCTGCTTTCTATTGTCTTTCTAGATGCTAGAGGTTTGCAAAGTTGTGTCAAAGCAGCTTGCGTGGTTTAGTGCAGTGCATCTTGTAGATAATCACTCTCTCTAGCATGGCAGCAGTGTGTACGTTGTTTGTGTGTCAGTCAAGTGTGCTGTACTGTCCTGAACGTTCTTGAGATCCTCAGTGTTTTTGGCACTTATCCAAGCAAGTTGAACTTCTATCACATTTCTGACTTGTGCCTTGCAGATGATGGGCAGACTTTGAGGAATTATAAATTGAGAAACTTGCTACAGAATTCCTAGCCCTCTGACCTGCTCTTGTACCCACAGCATTTATGTGGTTGGTCCTGTTAATTCTTTTGGTCAAGGGTAAGTGCCAGGATGTTGATTGTGAGGGATTCAGTAATGTTAATGGCTTTGAACACCATGAGGAGATGGTCAGATTTTCTCTTCCTGATGAATGTCATTGCCTGACTCGTGTGGCACAACGGCGCCACCTCGTGCTCCCACGAGGAGCTCGAACAGTTCATACACTTCACTAACACCTTCCACCCCAACCTTAAGTTTACCTGGACCATCTCTAACATCTCTCTCCCCTTCCTGGACCTCTCTGTCTCCATATCGGGCAACCACCTAGAAACCGATATTCATTTCAAGCCCACCGACTCCCACAGCTACCTAGAATACACCTCCTCCCACCCACCTTCCTGCAAAAATGCTATCCCCTATTCCCAATTCCTTCGCCTCCGCCGCATCTGCTCCCAGGATGAGGCATTCCACTCCCGTACATCTCAGTTGTCCTCGTTTTTCAAGGACCGTAACTTCCCCTCCTCGGTGGTCGAGAACGCCCTCAACCGAGTCTCCCACATCTCCCACACCTCATCCCTCACACCCCGTCCACGCAATAAAAACCAAAAAAGAATCCCCCTTGTCCTCACGTACCACCCCACCAACCTCCGGATCCAACGCATCATCCTCCGACACTTCCGCCATCTGCAATCCGACCCCACCACCAAAGACATCTTTCCCTCCCCACCCTTATCTGCTTTCCGGAGGGACAACTCTCTCAGTGACTCCCTTGTCCGCTCCACACTCCCCTCCAGCTACACCACACCCGGCACTTTTCCCTGCAACCGCAGGAAGTGCTACACCTGCCCCCATACCTCCTCCCTCACCCCCATCCCAGGCCCCAAGAAGACTTTCCACATCAAGCAGATGTTCACCTGCACATCTGCCAATGTGGTATACTGCATCCGCTGTACCCGGTGTGGCTTCCTCTACATCGGGGAAACCAAGCGGAGACTCGGGGACCGCTTTGCAGAACACCTACGCTCGGTTCGCAACAAACAACTGCACCTCCCAGTCGCGAACCATTTCAACTCCCCCTCCCATTCCTCAGACGACATGTCCATCCTGGGCCTCCTGCAGTGCCACAACGATGCCACCCGAAGGTTGCAGGAACAGCAACTCATATTCCGCTTGGGAACCCTGCAGCCCAATGGTATCAATGTGGATTTCACAAGTTTCAAAATCTCCCCTCCCCCCACCGCATCCCAAAACCAGTCCAACTCGTCCCTGCCTCCCTAACCTGTTCTTCCTCCCACCTATCCCCTCCTCCCACCTCAAGCCGCACCTCCATCTCCTACCGACCAACCTCATCCCGCCCCCTTGACCTGTCCGTCCTCCCTGGACTGACCTATCCCCTTCCTAACTCCCTACCTACACTCACCTTTCCTGGCCCCATCCCCGCCTCTTCGACCTGTTTGTTTCCTCTCCACCTATCCTCTCCTCTATCCCTCTTCTATCCGCCTCCCACTCTCTCCCT